CTCCGCCTCACCTGAGGCCTCCCTTCGGGTAGCTGAGGCACTTGGGGAAGTGCCATGGCACTGTGCTTGCTCCCTCCAGAGCTCAGGCTCTGCCACTAGATGGGGGCACATGCTTATTGTCCCCACTTCTTTGCAGCTGGCAAAGTACTGGGAAGCCTTCCTTCCTGAGGCAAAGGCCATCTCCTAATGGACCAAGGACACCAGAGCCCACCTGCCTGACGCTGCCTTTTTATACACTGTCCTCCTCCACCTCTGCCGGACCCATGATGCATCCTGTCTAACCTGAGTTCACCTCCTCCCCGCCCCATGACCAGCTGTCCTATCATTCTAACCATTACTTCATTTAGCTTCCATATATATTTTCTTACCTGAGAGAATAGTTTCTTGCTTTAAGCAAAAGACCTATAATAGGTGGTGGAATTATGGGTTAGGGGTGGAGTAGTGATATAAATATATAAATACAAATGTATATTTTTCAGGATGTGGTTAGGAACTGGGAATAACGTTTTCTGTTACTCCTGATGGTGCCTGAAAAGATTATGTAATAAAATATTTTAAAATCAGGTCACATGACTCAGAATGGTGGTGCTTTTTCCTTTAGGCTGGGTACAGTTGGGAAGCAGGTCTGGAATACTCCTGACCAAGGCGCTGCCCAGGTAGAGGAAGTTTCTCTCCCCAGGAGCTCACAACCCTTTGCTGCTGCTTCCCTGTGGCACTGGAGCTTCCTTTTCTCCATCTACCACAGCGACATGTTCTAAGGGTCTCTTAATCTTTATTCCTACTTCTTTAGAGAAGGAGTTTTAAAGACGTCTCTTATAATAAGAGGGGCAAAACCAATTCTCCTGCAAAGGAGGAAAACTTTCTCTTTTATGGCTACCCTGTTTCCGTAAGCTGCCCAGGGCACTGAGTCGTGCCTTCTGGTAGCAGAGTTTTGGGTTCCGAACTTCTTTTAGCCACCCATCAACACCGTCCTGAAAAGTGTAAAGGACTGATAAGGAGTTAACTCTATCCCCATAGACAGGAGCCAGGCACTCTGTTTCTAGGTAAGATCATCCAAGAGTTCCTAAACCTCCTGAGGCTCCAAAATGCTTTACTGTCTGTGCCTAAGAGGGAGCATACCATCGAGAGGTCCCCGTTGTCAGCACGAGCTGAGGCCTTCAAAGGTGCCTCTGTGCTGGCCTGACCAGGGAGGCCCACAAAGATGCGCTGTTGCTGGGCTTTCCCTCAGCTGTTTAAGCTCGCTGGTCAGAGGGACTACCGAGCTGTTCTGTGGGCAGGGCTGGCAGACTGCCTACCGCTCCTAGCCACCCCCCCACCAAAGATGCCTCTGCCCCAGGCGCTCCAGACCTGCTCTGCCAGGTATTTTTTGTGGGTGGTTAAAGTTTGGGGAGGGGCAGCCTGAGGCAAGAGAATGCAGTAAACAACACTGATTTCCCTGACACCAGCCTGAGGGTGATGGGGGGGGTGGGGGGTGCTAGTGCCTGCACGTGGTTTTTTCCAACAGGTTGATTTTTTTTCTCAATCTCTTTCTTCCCCCCCCCCAGTATTCTTGTTACCACCTTTGATTTTATCCTTGCAATCTTATATGCTTGCTTTGGCATAGTTGTAATAACATACACATAGAATATTTTGTATCCTGCTTTTATCATTCAACACTGTATATATGATAAGCATTTTGTCTGTATTGTTATGTAGCTGCACAAACTTTGTAAGGCTGTGTCATTGCAAGGCTTCCTCAGTGACTGTACCATAATTCTGACTCATCCCTTGTTGTTGGATTCTTGGTTTGTCTGCTAACTTTTTACATTTTAATATAATTTCAAACTTACAGAAAAGTTACAAAGAACTCCAACATATTCTTTACCCAAATTTCCCAAGTATTTACATTTTACCAGATGCTTTATGACTTAATGATTTGCTGTATCTATTTTTGCATGTATTTTCTGAGTCATTTGAGAGTAAGTTGCAGACATTGTATCCCTTTATCCCCGAAACTTCAGTATGCCTTTCCTTAAGAACAAGGACATTCTCTCATAGCTTATAATCTAAGTATAGTTATCAAAATCAGGAAGTTTAACACTGATGTAATAACTGTTATCTAACCCGTGGTCCGTATTTAAATTCTGTCATTTGTCCCAGTATGTCCTCTATAGCAATTCCCTTTTTCTTGGTGCAGGGTCATATGTTACATTTCGTTGTAACACATGGTTACACATGTCCCTGAATCTGAAGAATACAGGCCAGGTGTTTTGTAGAATGTTCCTCAGTTTGGATTGGTCTCCTGGTTCCACATGACTAGACTAGAGTTTTGTATAAGGGGCAGGAACAGCACTGACGTGATACGGATTGTCCCATTAATGCTGAAGTTAACTCAGATCACTGGGTTAAGCTGATGTTTCCAGCTTTCTCCATTTTAAATTTACTGTTTTCCCCTTTGTAATTAACAGGTAATTTGTGGGGAGATCCTTTGAGATCATGTAAATATTTTGCTCCTCATCCAATGTGACTTTCTAATTCTATAAGTCTACATTTATTGGTTGCCATTCTTCTTCTTTTTTAATATATTGTATTTTATTTCAGAGAGAGGAAGGGAGAGGGAGAGAGAGAAATATCAATGATGAGAGAGTCATTGATCCGCTGCCTCCTGCACGCCCCCCACTGGGGATCGGGCCTGAAGCCCCAGCATGTGCCTTGACCGCGATTGGAACCGTGACCTCCTGGCTCATCGGTCCATGCTTAACCTTTGAGCCACGCCGGCCGGGCACTACTTCTAAAGAAAAGTATCTTTTGCCTTGCCAGGTATCTCATTGGTTAGAGCATCGTCCCCAATACACCAAGGTTACAGGCTCAATCCCCGGTCTGCGCACATGTAAGAATCAGTCAATCAATGCATAAATGAGTGGAACAGCAAATTGACCTTTTTCTCTTTCTCCCTCCCTTCCTCTCTCTCAAATCAATAAACTAAAAAACAGAGTATCTTTTCTATTTATTAATCTGCTTGTTTACCAATATGGATGATTGGATTCCTATTTACTCAAAGATGCAAGTCATTGTTTTGATTTATTTTGATTTTCAATCCATCCCAGATTTCTAGCAGGCTCTTGTGTCTTTTAAACATGTCCTCTTCATTTTTTGAACACTTTCTTACTTTCTGGTTTGACAAGCTGTTTCAAGCTTATCTTGTATCTTCCCTGCCCCAGCCCTGGAATCAGCCATTTCTCCAGGGAGTCTTGAGTCCTTTTCATGAGAATTATATTTAGAAAACAAGATGTGGGTGCTGAGTGTGTACATTGCTACTGGAGTGTCACTGCTTCTAGGCCCAGCCAAAAGAGCAAAGAAATAAATATAAAAGCTACACAGAAATATCAAGAGAGAGATGACAAAAATGAAGAATTAGATATTAAAAATTATGAATTCACACTGATACTTCCAGCCTAGCTCCATAGGGTTTATTCCGGTTGTCTTCCTTTTCCATATTTGTAACTCTCCTCTCCAAAGAAACCTAATGTAAAACTCTTTCCTTGCTTTGTTATGCTTAATGTCCCATCCATTGATCATCTTGATGTAAATCTGTTTTCATTATTTCCTTAGGATGGTTTCAGAACTTCCTCCTCCGTCTCCTGCATCCGAGGCTGGCAGGGCCCAGTGTCTTGAGGGCCCGTGCGTTCCTGTGCAGAGCTTGTAGACATGAAAATCAGGCAGGCCAGTGGGGTTCGGAGTACTGAGTCAGAGGCCTGAACGGGGTAGAGGTACGAAAGAAGGAGTCACTCCACCTGGGGCCTCGGGAAGAGATCTGTGGAGAAGGGGATGCTTGCACTGGGCCTTACAGGTGAAGAGGTGGTTGCTCCTCCTACGGGACCATTCTGCCTTCCTGTGTCCCAGCAGTGGGAGGTGGGCACATCTAGGGAGATGCAGGTGCTCGGGGTGGCCAGCATCAAGTCGTTGGGTGGCCGACCGAAAGGGATGAGCAGGAGCCAGGTCACATAGTGCCTGATGTGACTTTTGAGGCACTTGGAACATTACCGCGGAAGTGTGGGGAGCTACCGAGTGACATAGGAAATAAAATGGTCATAGTTGTGATTTGGGCATATCAGAAGGTTTGAGAGTGGAGGCAAGGAGAGCAACCAGGCTCACCCAGCCAGCTGGAGAGGGCAGTAGAAATGGGGTTGGAGCTCAGGGGAGACGTTTGGGAGGTGATGGAGCCCCTGGGACCTGGTTTCCAAAGGGAGGAGAAAGCAGGAACTCACATGACCTGCAGGTGCAGGTTTCTGGTGAGGATTTCACAGTAAACAGTGAAGCCCTTCGTTACAGGTAACCAGGAGGCCAAATGGGTTTGGAGCAGTTGAGAGGGCAAGCAGTGGGGACAGCAAGTGCTGACCCTGTGGTATAAGCAGCTCCTCTGAGTGGGAAGAGAGACCATGCTGAGAGGTGGGGAGATGCAGAGTGAAAGAAGGCTTCACTTTATCTAAAGGTGGGTCAGACTTAGCGTGTTAGTAAAAGGAGAGAAAGGGAATAGCCAGCAGAGCCATGACTGGGAGCAAATGCAGAGTAGGGAGCGGGAAAGATGGGGTGGGGTGGGGCAGAGAGTAAGGTCTCCTGCTTGACACTTGTCAGACAGGGATTCTTGTGAACCTATTTTGAGCCAAGTGGTTTAGAGAAGAGGTGTGGAGACGAGTCTACACTTCCTCTGCTCCCTCTTGGGTTATTTCCCCTCAGAATCTTCTGGGCTCTTGAGTCCTAAAGATGAAGACTTAGAGCTGGAGGGACCCCAACATTCAGTGCTGGTATTCAGTGACACAATACATGAGAGAAGTCGAAATGATAGGAAAGGGTCACTTATACCTAGATATTTGTAACTTGGAACTCTTTCCAGATTTCCATTCTGGGTGCATCTGTAGCTGGGAACCCTAAAGAAAATAATGCCTTTGCAGCTCAAGTTTTAGAAAGGGAGAGAAGATAATGGAAATCTTCTGGGGTGGTGCCAGCAACTGGTTGAGAGCATGGTAATGGAAGGAGTGTCCTTTGCTGAGTGTGGTTCGGGCCCGCACGGATTGAAGACCATGGATTTTGAGGGACATCAGGCCATGGTGGGATTTGGTGACAGGAAGGAAGGGGAAGGTATGATGATCCCTCCCTGAGCAGAGGACACACCTTTGCTGCAATTGGCATATGCCTGAGCCGAATTCTTTGTCTTCTTAGACACTGGCTAATACTCTCTGCTCCAAATTTGGGTAGAGTCAGGCCTGAGCTGAGAGTTGGAAATAGATGAGGATTACTCATCCCTGTCTTCTGGTCCCCAGGACCGTGCGTACTGGCACGTCATCTGCCAGTGTCTTGCGATCCAGTTGTGTGGTTTCACATTGGCTCTCTGTCAGACAATAAACTCTGAAGTGGTACATCTTTTTATAACTCTTGGCCCTGGCAAAGATTTGGGCTCAGAATAGATAACTATTGAGTGTTCCAAATAGATAACTAGTGCCAAAGAGATAACAGTTGAATGTTCACCAATTGCACACTCTGCCATCTGGCATTCACAGCCTTCTGAGAGGACCCCAGTTCCCCTTCCCCTCTTTATCTCCTAGTCTTCCTAACCATGCTGACACCTCGTGGACACTGATTCCAAACATGTTCTTTCCTTTCTCACTTCATGTGGCCTAAGGTGCCTTCATTAGTGATAGGCTTTGTGTCGGAAATACCCTATCCCAGCTCCCATCCCTCTCTCCAGTCTCACAAGTACACCTGTCTGAAACAGCAATATTGTGGATAGGAGTGTCGGTAGATAGAGATGCAGGGCATTGGCCAATGTATCAGAAGACTGTCCCATAGACACCTCTAGATACCAAGTCCATGAAGATGACTATGCAAAGATGCCCATCATAGCATTATTTACAGTTGTGAAAATTAAAGTCAGTCTAAATGTACAGCAGGAAGGGATTAAATGAATTATGGTACATAATACAATTGAATATTATACAGTCCTTGGAAATGATTTATAGCTATATTCATTGACAAGGAATACATATATTTGAGTGAAAAAAGTAGGTTATAGAATTACATGGATGGTGTGGTCCATGTTTATATAAAATTATATATATATGTATGGGAAGGATGTTGACTGAATTTTAACTATGGTTGCCTCTAAGGATGGAATTCAGCATGATTTAACATTTTTATACCATTTTATGTTGCTTTGAATTTCTATGTATTATTTTATAATCATAAAAAATAAAGCTATTTTTATTATGGGAAAACAATCCAGTGCAACCTCTGCAGCCTACTTTATATGTACTTTCTCCCAGGAGCTTTCTTTGATTCACTTTCCGTCCCACCCCCAGACTGGAATGGGAGCCCTGCCTACTTTATAGCTCTTGGCAAGGCAGTGTCCTCCTCCTCTTAAACCTGTGGTCTTTCTCACCCTTTGTGTAATGTGATCTCCCAGATGTAGCCTCCTAGTCTCAGCTCCTTAAGATCATGAACTGCTAGCCCTCCCGTCCTTGTTCTTACTCATCTGGGGGCCTTCCCCCACCCCCAAAGGCACCCTGAGCGGCAGTGACTACCCTTAGGCTCTGGTGATTATTGTTTTATGGGCCTAAGGGCCCAAATCTTGGGGTTTTTAAAGAGATTCAGAAATCAGGCCTGATTTGGGGTTCAGTAGGCCTTGCTCTGGTTGGCAGGATTGGTGTTCAGGTGTCCAGGTGGGGCCTGCAGGCTAGGAGGTGACAACCACCTGCCACATGACTTACCTCCTCTTTGCCCTCCTTGTCTCTTGTGGAAATGCCCCACTGGCTGTGATAGCCAAACCTTAGGGGCAGAAAGCCCCTCTCCACCCCATCCCCAAGGCTGCTCAGAGGAAGCGCTGCTCACATCCATAGGATGTACTTTATCTTAGTCCAGGAAAACCCACAGAAAAACCATGTTCAACCTAAGATAGGACCTTCCTCTAAAGGGATGTGACGACTGTTTCCAAATGAATGCCACCTCCTAGCTCCAGAGCATTCAGCTTCCTCTTTCATTTTGAGTGACAGTAGTGAAAACCAAGGGGCCCAACCAGCAGTTCACTCCATGGGGACATCAGCAGCCTCAACCAGAAAATGATAAGGCACCTGGCAGCCAGGAACATGTACGGGGGCAGATCCAGGCTGCCCAATACTCCCTCCCCACCCGGGAACCTAAGGGTAAGAGCTGCCATGTGCCAAACACCTACTGTGTGCCAGTGTGCTCTACCAGGTGGGCATCATCTCCATTCAAAGACTGAGGCTTAGAGAACTTGAGAAGCTTGCCCAAGGTGACGCTCCAGAGCTGCTTGTCTCAGCTTGTCTGCCATACCATATCCCACAGGATCCACAGGGGTAGACAAGAGGAACCTAGACATTAACCCACTAAATCCATAGAATAGGCCTGTGAAGGATAAGCTACCCACCTGACCTTGTAGGCATCTGACCTTCTGACCCCTGTGAGATACTCTCCCAGACATGCAGTGTGTGGCCCAGTCTAGTAGCAGGAGCAGAAGCTGGAAGACAAAGCAGCAGCTTGAGCAAATAGCTGGGGACCATTAATGGCAGAGCCTTAAAAATAACACTTGCCAAGAAACCACAGACAGCACCCAGGGCTAGAGCGGGAGACGAGGGCACTTCCATTCCAGACTGAGGCCTGGGGCTGCAGCTCCTCCTGGCCTTTGGCCTGACTGTGCTGTTGTCCTCAGGTGTTGGTACCACAGCTCTCTTCACAATAACCTCATGACTTGAGGGTACCTGTGTGCATCTTTGTTCATTGAACCCTAGTGCTGGGCACAGCAGAGGGCCTGGTGGGTTGGTCCACTGACACACCACTCCAAGGAGCGCTGTTGTTGTAGCATCAGAACCCCACCCCCTCCCCGGGAGCCGTGCTGCCTTGGATGCCAGGTGGCTGGGGTCACTGCCAGCTCCCCGGGCTCCAGCCCTAGCTCATGTAGTCTGAAGCAGCTGAGCTGACTCTTGTCTGGGCAGGGGGCAGGTGACTCCTAGGAGTAACACTGCTGGCTGAAGCCTGGGGGCTGGACCCTACCCCGAATCAAACTTTGCTTTCAGGGTGGTTAAATAACAAGGATAGTTGCTAATTTACACCGATCTCCACTTCCAATTTATTATTTTATCTTATTTTGGTTGCACAATATTGAGAAAATCAGGAAAATCCTGATCACAGTTAATTATTATTTTATTATTATTATTTTCAATATATCTTTATTGATTTCAGAGAGAGGGAGAGAGAGTTGAACTATCAATGATGAAAGAGTCATTGATTGGGTGCCTTCTGCACACCCCCAAATGGGGATTGAGCCTGCAACCCGGGCATGTGCCCTGACCAGGAATCAAACCGTGATCTCCTGGATCCTAGGTCGATGCTCAAATGCTGAGCCACTCCCAGCCAGGCAATATTTTTAAACCTTTCCATCTCAGGATACTGAAAGAGGAATAGTAGCATTTGTTTTTGTTTCAGTAACAATATATAGGATGAAGCATGGAATTGCCAATAGTCCACAGTTTTGGCCTACAAAACAGCAAATTCATATACCTCAGTCAAATAATAGCATTCATTTACTGTGTGCCAGGCCCCATGCTAAGCACTTTCAAACCAAGATGTCAGTTAATCCACACAACTCTCCCCTTGTACAGATAAGGACCCTGAAGAGAGGGAGTGGTACGAATTTGCCCATGTGACCAGAGCCATTCTGGATGGAGCAGTTCAGGCCCAGCCTTGCTCAGGCAGCCCCTGGGGGCTGGGTCCCCTCCAGGCCAGTCCACCTCTGGCCTTGTTCCTCTGGCCACCAGCCTGGAGGAAAGAATCCAGCCTCTGTGCCCAGCAGGCAACGTGGAGGAGCTGTTTGTTTTCTTAACAGGGTTAACCAAACCTCCTAAGCAGTTGCAGCCCAGCAAAAGTGGTGCCAGTGAAAGGGGCTTTGTGTGATGGCAGCAGGAGGGCCAGGGCCCAAGCTGGGGCCAGGAACAGGGATCCAGCCCACCTGTGACCCACCCTGCCACCAGCTCTCCTCCACTTGGGGCCTGTCATGGGGGACACCTCCACCCCCAACCCTTCCTGCTCTGTGCTTGGGTCTCCATCCTTGTCTCCAGGCTCCACATCTGCACAGTGAGGGGAGAGTCATCCAGCTCCCTGACAGGGCTGCTGTGGGGATCAAGAGACCAATGTCTACAATGTGGTCCCCAAACAGGAGAGTCAGCATCACTGAGCACTTGTGAGGCTCCATGCCAGGCCTATGCACTCAGAAACCAGGTCAGGGCCCTCTGAGATCTGACAGGCCACATTGCTGATGATGATGCTTGCTGAAGTTGGGGAACCACTGCTCTATAATCTGATCTGGAAACACCCCAGCCAAGAAAATGTGACCAACTAGTACTTTTAACCAACTTTCCCCCAGAAACTTAGACATTAAATTCACATGTTAGAGTGTAATAGAGAAAAGACAAGGATTTGTCCAGTAAAACAACTCCTTCTAAAAATGGAAGTCACTTTGAAGGGGTCCACACCCATCATATAGAGCCTGGAACTCACTCAGCTCAGTGTTCATACACGGAGCTGGCCAATGCTTAGACTACAGAAAATAAACTTTTCCTTAGACCGTAATAACTGCTTTGGGATTTCCATCATCTCCCTTCAGTAAACTATTTTCCATAACTTGTTCTCCCTCCCAAAAGGCATCTTAAATGGATATGGGTTTTCTTCAGGAATCTTCACTTGAGCACCATGGAACGCTGTGGAATTTTATAAATGAGTCGCAGCAAATCTCCCTGTGTATAAATGGTGATGGAAAAATATAAAATAGATTTTTAAAAATCTCCCTGTGTAACTAGTGATGAAAATCTAGTGATTTGAAGCTTCTCAGGAACACCAGAAAATTAAGCAGTTATCAAGGTGGACAACAATCTGGGGGGAGACAGAGATCGAACTCTGAAGGTGTGAAGAGCATGCCTGTTATCCCCATGCTCGCCTTCCTCTAAGAACCCTTTGGCAACCCCTGCTCTCTTCCTGCCTCACTCCCAGGCCTTCCCTAGCCTTTCCCAACACCCCTCTCCCCCATTCATTCATACATTCTTTCAACCAACAAATGTTTTTTGAGTGTCTATTACATGCTTGGCACCATGGTGGCAAACACTGACAAGACTGGCCAGATCCCTGGCCTAATGGCTCTCAGAGTCCAGGAAACCAGGGAGACACAATAAACAGTAGCTACATTTTGGAATAATTGCATAGATAGGATGATATGATAAGGTGATCAGGAAGGAAGGCAGTTTTAGGCTAAGTATTAGAAGTTTTAGGCTAAATCTATCAGGTGACAAGTCAGGGGACAGTGTTCAGGGAGATGAATCAGCAAGTACAAAGGCCCTGAGGCGGGAAAGAGCTCATTAGGTTTGAAGAACTAGAAGAAAGTCGCTGTGTCTGGAACCTGGTGAAGAGGGGAGGAGAGGAGAAATAGAGGCTGGGCTGGGTCATTTAGAGCTCTAGATTGTGGTGGGGAGAGTGGATTTTGTTCTAAGTGCAGTGGGAAGCCTTTGGAAGGTTTTAAGCAGATGCCTTGATAATTTGTGCTGCTCAGTAGAAAATGGAGTTTGTATGGAGGGAGGCATGGAAAAACAGGGAGATCCATTTGAAGACTGGCAGTTTTCCAGGTGGTAGAAATAGAGACAGAGGGGAAAGCAGCCATTAGGATGGATAACTAAGAAATGTAGAGGTCTGGAGGTCCCAGAAGAAGACTTCTGGACAGCAGGACAAGCAGAGCAGGGTCCCTGTGTTACAGAACAGTAAGAAGCTAGGAAAAGTCCAGGACAAGCAGAATAGGGAAACTAAGTTCAACAGCAGTTTGCAGCCACCTAATAAATCCTATCTTCCCTAAACTAAGGACACCTAAGAGAATAAATGGTTTTCACTCTCCTCTCCAACCACAGGGTATATAGCTTAAATCACTCTACTCAGGGAGACAGATAACAGAAATCCAATTAGTGCCATTTGCCAGCCACACCCAAGGACAGACAAATTAAGAGAATAAATCTCATTTTTGGTACATTAGCATAAAGTTGATAAATATTCTATTGATTCTCCCCTAAGACTTCCCCTAAACACTCAGCCTTTAAAACCCCTAAAAACCAAGGTCCCAGGGTGCTCTCCCTCCAGGGAACACACCCATGCCATTCCCTTCCCCCTCTCCTTCCCCCACAGGCATGTATCCCCTAACCTCTAAGGAATCCCATGGGACTTGCAAATGGGGGGGGGGGAAGCAATGGG